TTTTTTTTAATCAAGGCTATTTCAGTGCCTTTGCTTCAGTTTCCAATATAGCTTTGCAAACAGTTAAATCAGTATTGCTGAAGGATGGCACAGGGTTAATAACAGTGGCAAGGAGATGACTGTAAGAAGCAGGGGGGCTTTTCCCAAATAAATATCATGGGACCCCTCCTGAGGCACCATCAGTTTGGTGACCCAGCTGTGTCATTTTTGACAAAGTGCTGATACAATCATTTGTTTGGCTAAGACTGGGGAGAAAAACCAAACCAACCCCAAACTACATTATCATTTCTGCTTTTTGTCAGACACTTTGCCATTTTAACGCAACATTCATGGTCTACACATTTAGTGGAAAACACAATAGGGACAGAAAGAGCTGGAGTGACTGTTCAGAAAAATTCAACTACAAAAAAGGCCTCTGTCCAAACACTGCTCAAACCCACCTCACAAACATGGCTCTTTCCTCTCCTCTTTGTTCACAGACTCACAGGATGGGTCAGGCTGGAGGGAACCACCGTGGGTCACCTGGTCCCACCTCCCTGCTCCAGCAGGACACAGCACAGGATTGTGTCCAGAGGGTTCTGGAGTATCTCCAGTGAGGGAGGCTCCACACCCTCTCTGGACAATCTGTTCAGTGCTCAGTCACTGCACAGGAAAAAAATTCTTCCTCATGTCCTCAGGTGGAACTTCTGGGCATCAGTTCCTGCTCGTTCCTCCTGCCCCACAGCTGGGCACCACCAGCTGCTGTTGGGATCTCCATGTCTTGTACAGCACCAAACCACCCACCCATGGCAGGGTTTGGAAGCAAACAACTCCACCTGTGAGACAGAAACTGTGATCCTCCTACCTCTATTTCCCATGCGTTTTTTGCACACCAATGACAACATGCACCTACATTGCAAAGTAAGTAACCCCAAATAGATATAAAAAAATTCAACTGATTCATAAGAGGCTTAACAGTAGGTGTTTTGTTCTTCAGTAATCATAGATACTGTATTTTCAGTTGTTTTCAGAGAGAGAAGCATAAATAGTGCAGGATGTCTTGTTTAGCATGGGTTGATGTAACAGAAACCACGAACAACACTGACTTTACAAGAAAACCTGTGTCTTATTAGAGTTCCTTTATTCAGGAAATCATGTAAGTGTTTAAATTTTGAAAGCTTATCTGGACTGATCCATTAAAAATGGAACTTGATCTTTACTGAGCAGAAAGTCTCTTCAGAAGGTATTCCAGAACCTGAAGGTTCAAGTCTTTGGGATTTTTCATTAGAGATTTGCCTGCACTGAAAGAATATGTAATAAAAACAAAACCAATCACTTACTGAAAAGAAACTCAAACCAATTACATGACTGACAACAGAAGTACTTAAAAATCACACAGGAAAACAAAAACTATTCATACAGTAAAGGAAACAAAAACTATGATCTGAACAGGACCAATATAAATTTCTTAAGACCATATCCTGGTCCTTTTTTTAATATAATTACCCTTGGGGAAAAAACGTATTCATGCACTTTCAAACTTTTGTTATCTTTAAAATAGTGCCAGTTACATCATTACTTTCATGGTCTCTAGACCAGACTCCAGTAGCTTGGATGCCTACATGCAAGCATCTGAGTTCATCAGGGGAAGTGGATATTTTTGATTGAGAGGAAGGAATACTAGAGAGACTTTCTTCTCAGTGATACTAAGAAGCCATTGGACAAGTATTTTGTTATGTCAAGATTTGAATTCACAATTTCCAGTGAAAGTTTTTGCATCTACTAGTGGCAGAAAAAGAACCGAGTTAGGAGTATCAAGACTTTGGAAAACATTGCAGATTCTCAGTGAAGCTTCCCTATTCTGCCCCAATTCCCAAGAAACTTTTGTTCCATTGGGACTAATGGCAATTTCCTTCCTCTCACTCAGCTCTCAATTTGCAATTACATACCCATGGAGAAAAACTGTTTTGACTCTTCTCACAAGAGAAACCACAGGACTCACTTACAGACAGAAAAACCAAATCACCATTAGAGAACATCTCACAAACTGACTTCAGCAGCACTGAGTATATTTATACAAATACACAACTCAAGCTTCCAAACAAACCAAACTGCATCTTGAGAAACTATAAGATGGGAAATTCTCCCAACCATTCCTAGGGATTTCCTGTTTCACAGGTTCCCAACTGAAGTGCAGCTGAAGGAGAAAGAAAGGAAAAATGTACTTAAAGGCAGGGTTAGCTTTGGATTTTATGAATGTCAAGCTGATAGTAGAAACTACCCGTCTTCCTCACATCATCCTGTGAGAGCTCTGTGAGAGCTCTGAGAGGCCTGTTCCAACTATTTACTGACATACACAAGACACAGTGGAGCACCCCTAGAGAAATTCCAAGCATAACCTGCCTCTTGATAATAGCAAACTTAAGAAAATAAAAACCAGCAAACAAAAAAAAGGACATTTCAGTTTGGCGTTTTGCTTATCCTACAGTTACATATGAAGAACACGTATACATGCTTTGAGTACAACCCCATTGTGTCCTATACATCAAATTAATGGAATGCCACCTAATTTTGGGAAGATTCAAAAATACAAGAGAGTTGTCCTACAGCAACTAAGTCTGCAGATTTAAGCATAATTTTTTATTTCATTTGAAATGCCCTGACTCATCCATTGCCGTAAGGGAATCCTGAACTGCTTAGACAAGGATGGAGAACTATCATTGTTTGTGTTTAGTAAATGCAAGATGGAGCTTCTTGAGCTGAGGTTTTGACTCTGCCACACCCAATGTCCCTAAGCTGCTTCTGCTGTTTGCACCTTTAAAACTCTCACCTGTGCACCATTACAAGCTTTAGTATCTACCATGTGCAAAACACCTGATTTTAAAAGTGGTTGATGTTGTAAGAAATGGACAGGGAAGAGAGATTACAGCCAAAATAGTGTCTTAGACTGGTTATTGAAGATTTTGTCCTTTTAGACATCCACATAGAAAGCAACATGCACAACAGTTGAGGCTTTTAAAATAAGTAATTCCCAGATACTTTCTCAAAAAGATGTGTGTATGAAGCACTAAATTACATCCAGTAAGAGCATGTGACATCCTCTGTTCTTGGAGAAAAACAAAAATACCAGATAATAAAGGATTTTGGGTAATATTGGATTCTGTCCCAGGATTAACAAAAGTTAACAAGATATCCATTCACCTGGTTTGCTGAGCATCAGGATTGGCTCATTTCAAATGCTTACAAAAAAATCCTCATAATTTTTCTCAGAGCTGGTTTAGAAATGTGATTTGTTTTTCATTTCCAAGCCAGAAAACCAGCAGGCTACAAAGGTATCAGCCCAGCAACTAATATTAAGTCAATACACATAAAACCACCATAGAAACACAAAGATGGGATTTTTTTTCCTCTTCTTTACAGCACTTGCCAAATTCTATTAAGTTACAACAGTCAATCTGAAGATAAGTTAATATATACACAGTATTTTATTATCACCTTCTCAAACTCCTGCATGGAAACACATGCAAGAAATGTCACTTTCTCTGCACTGTTTTGGAAGAGCAGAGATCCTTGCTCAGGATCATCTCCTGTCAAACAAGTGATTTCTTTGGAAGGTGGCAAGTCATAAGCTGCCACATCTGGTTCCTAGGAGGAAGACAGACATTCACCTAAAACTATTATCATAAATGAAAGCATTTTCACATTTGGAATGCACACCAAAGACACAAGCAAAAGTGCTGGAGGTGGGAGGTACAGGCACAGCTAAAAAAAAGGTCTAAAAAACTACCAACAATAGCACTGTAAAGGAACCACCTCCTGGACAAGTGTAATTTTTGACATTTATTTCTCCAAGTCAGCAGAAACTGTCAGTTAGTATAACACAGATCTATACAGTGCAAAAATAGGATACAGATCTTCCAGCAGTTGTTTCTTCTGCTGGTAGAGCTTCAGCAAAGGGTCCTGTGCTCATGCTGGCATGCACAGAACTGGTCTCTTACACAGCAAATCTACAAAACAGCCCAAAATGCCCTGTTTTCTGAATTTCATCACACAGCTCAGAATACAGTTAAGGTGATGACACAAATTCATGGTTTTCCATGTTTACACTGAATTGATGACATGTTGCTGCACAGGGATGGATATTGCTGCTTACCTGGTGACTGTGTGGACTTCTTATGACCATGAATTACCACTTAACTCCCAGATGCATTCCCACATTAAGCCTTTCAAAGACAATCCAGGCTTTAAACTCATCCTAACCAAGGACAGAAAGGGCAATAGACAAAAACGACCACATTATTCAAGCAAGACAGAATAATAATAATTAAGGTCTATAACAACAGCATTCAGCCTTTATTTTCAAAATTTTCATTAAAAAACCCTGTACTTTTTTCTTTATAATAACCCATTTCCTAGACTAGTTCACTCCCCTTACTACCCAATGCTAGGAAAGTATTTATGAGATTAAAAAGCAATTTTTTCTTCAACATAGTAATAAAGAGCATTGTGATGATTTTTTTCCTATTTTCAATAATAATTCTCCTATCCATGTATAGGTTTCCTTATTGCTAGCAAAAGCATTTGCATTTTTTGTGGGAAAAAAACATAAAACAACCCAAAACCTTGGGGTTTAGATCAGCTTCCCCAGTTTCTTGACCACCATATGCTGTTAAAACGCAGATCATCACACAACACCCACCAGAACTTTAGAGTGGGCAGTTACGAAGAAAATTGCAGGTAATTTAAATACAAACTCCTGGACAATAGAAAAGCCACTGCTAGAGTATAAAAAGGAAGTACCACAGGATTTTTTGTTCCAAGTATCAAGAAAATGGATCAGTAATTTAAGCTTTTCTTTGTTTACCTTGGAGTAAAAGAAAACAACAGTAAGGAAAACAAATGCAGAAAAAGAAAAGCATTAATGAAACTGCTTTCTCCCTGACCTACTGGCAGATTTTACTAGTTTATGCTGCTTTCCCTCATGTGCCAAACAGCCACGTATTTCAGGCAGGTTGACTAAAATTTGGCAAGATGGCAACAATACAAGTATTAGATTTATGTTTTGTAGGACACAAAATGGCATCCTGTGGGTTCTGTTGGTCAGTCTGCTTTTTTTGTTGCTGTCTTTCAATACATATACTTTGCCACATGAATCCAAGGCTGTCTCATCACATTTTGCCTGCTCTGCTGCAGAAGGATTTGCCTCATAGTCTGAGGCCTCCTGAGCTACTGGGAGCATAATGTTGACTCCACACCTCAAAATCCTTTCTTAAACAGCAGCATCAGTAGAGATCACACATGACTCCTGAACTTCTGCAGACTCTTGGCTAAAGAGATGACCTCTGCCCTCATATGATTAGCTGGTCAAGGCTTGCAGCTGCCCAGAACTTCAAAGAGCAGGAATGAAAACCAAACCAATTAGAATTGATATACCCAGCTTCAAACAGCACAGTTTTTCCAGGGGTAGATCTTGCCGCAGGTGACTATAAAGTATGCCCAGACTACTTTATTTTGTGGAAGACCATGAGATTTCAATTGTGTCCAACAGGGACAGATCTACTGCTCCTTCAAATTTGCTACCTGACTTGGAAGTGACAGCAACTAAATAAATAAATACAGAAAGAAATAAGAGCATCTGGAAATTCAAAGCCAGCAATTCAGGCAGGGTATAGGGGGTTAAGAATGGCAATGGCAGTACTAGAGAGGTAACTCAGGGGTTGTGACTTCAAGTGCACACAAGTTTCAGCTGGACTAGGACTCTGCTTCTGTGGTCCCCTGATTTGCTCTGTTGTTCAACAACCCCTTTCTTCCACTGAGAAATGGTTTTGTCTGCTCTACATTCTGCTGATTTATACTCGGGATACTGCAAAGTGGAAATTTTACACCTGAGAGTTTAGAACCACAGAAACAATCAGCACTGAAATCCCATATTTATGGCACATTCCCAACCAGTCAGGCTCTTGGCACTGATTTTGGCACCTGAGGAAAGTCTGCTGAGAAAATCCAGACAGAGAACCATGGACAATACACATAAACACAGAGGTTTGATCATAGTGTTACCACTATTAGCAGACTATGGCCCATTCCCAGAACCAAAAATAACTTGGGTTTTATCTGAATTTCAAACTTGCAAGTCACAAGAGACTTTAAACACAAGTGCCTGTCTCTTACACCACTACTCCCAACAAACTGGCAGCTGACTCTTATGAAGAAATGCAACATCATCAAACCAAGATGCTTTTGTTTTTTGTTCTTCCTGCATTTGCATCAGAAAGCAGAGCTACATTACAAGAGTCTGCTTTTAAGAGCACCATGGACACACTACTCTGAGTATTCACTTGCATTATTTAAGACTTTGTCTTGACCAGGTCTCCATTCCTGCCAGTGTCTCTGCACCATGAGGACCAGAAAATGTGTGAGGATCCACCTGTAAAACACCATTGACACATTAGTTAAACACTTACAGAGGCAGAGCACGATTAGAGAGCGCAATTAAAGGAGAACCAGCAAGCAGCAGTATCCACTGCATAGGCTGGTCTTTGACCTTGTTCACAGAATTCCCAAAGGAAGCAAAATGGGCTTTACTTTTGCTTTAGAGCACCTGGTAACCATCAAACAGGACATTCAAATGGGAAAAGCCAGCGCAGACATGGAGCTTCAGCCGGACACCAAAGAAGCGATGCAGTGCTGTTACAGAAGGGTGTTCTGATCCATTTCCAGCAAACTGGGAATGAGCTGTGCCCTCCCACACCCACAGCAGAGCCAAGATCGAATGATCTGCAAACACCTTACTTAAAAAGCCCTAAAGCCTCCTGGCTGTACGGTACAGTAAAGAGAAACGGGGCTCCTGGTTGAGCTGGGAAGGATGGAGGAACCCAAGGAACAAGCATAGATGTCCCATTCCTGGAAGTGTTCAACGCCAGGTTGGATGGGACTCTGAGCAACCTGGTCTAGCGGGAGGTGTCCCTGCCCGTGGTAGGGAAATGACCTTTTCAGTCCCTCAAGGCAGTCTATGATGCTCAGGTAACGCTTCATCTACAAGTCGTGCTGGAGCTGCGCTGCGCCGTACGAAGGAAGGAAAGCAAGCAGCAAACCCCCTTTCCTTTCCTTCCCGCGCCTGCAGAAGCTCGGAGCTGTACTCACACGGGGCCGTGCCCACAGCCCGCGCTGCCCGCGCCGTCCTTCGCGCTGCCCGCGCCGCCGCGGCCGCCCCGGGCCCTCCCCGCCCTCACGCCCTGAGGCCCGCGAAGCATCGCGAGACTCGCCGCGCGTCTCGCGCCAAGCGCGCGCGCCGGCGGGGCCCGCTCCACCTGTCACGGGCTCCCGGGGGAGGCGGGGGGGCGTGGGCGAAACCAACGGCGGGGGCGGCCCCCGCCCTTCCGTGCGACCGTTGCCCGCCGACCCAAGCATCTCCCTCGCAGCCCCGCTCCCGCTCCCGGGAAGCTTTTATTTCCCGCTTGTGCCAACACCGCCACGCCCGGGGCGGGGGGGGGGTGCGAGCGTGCCTACTGCCCCCCGCCGGTGGGACATGGCGCCTTCCTCAGCGGCGTCCACTCCTCCAGCCCGGAGCCCCCGTTACGCAACTCCACCCGTGAGCGCAGCCCGCCCTTCCTCCTCCTCTTCCCACCCCAGCGCCCGCCACTCCCAACTGCTCCCCCCCTCCCCCGCCGTTCTCTTTTAAAGGCGCACCCCAACCCGCTGGCGCTCGCTAATCGAAAAGCTCGTCTGACTGACGGCTCGCTCGGCCTATCACAAATGGCGGATCTCTGAAACCCCACCCCTCTTATCACCTGCCGACCAATGGCGTGAGGCCGGCGGGGCAGGCGGGCGGCGAGGGCCAACCGAACCGGAGCGCAGCGGCGGCGGAGCGCAATGACTGACGTAAGTCAACAAAGGTCACGTGGGGCGCGGCGGCCCCGCCGATTGGCTGCGCGGCCGCGGGCGGGCGGGGCGGGACGGGGTGGGGGGGTCGCGGTGGCGGCGCGCGGGGTCCGCGGTGTGACACAATTACAACAACTTTGGGCAGCGGCTCCGGGGAAGTTTGTACGGGCGGCAAAACACACCCCGAGCCGCGGGGCGGGCGGGGAGGATCCCCCCGGCTCCCCGACACCTCGGCTCCCCGCGCCGCCGGCGGCGAGCGGAGATGTAAACACCGCTCCGCCGCCATCCGCAGCCGCCGCCTCCTCCTCCTCCCCCGAGTCGCCAGCGCTGGGGCTCCCTCCCCCCTCCTTCCCTCCCTCCTCCTCCTCCTCCGAGCAGCGGGGCTTCCCCCCGCCTCCCTCCCTCCCTCTCCCCTCCCCTCCCTCCCTCCATCCCTCCCTCCCCCTCCCTGCCGGCTGTTGTTGTTGTAATAAAAGTTGTGGTGTGTGTGTGTGTCGGGCACCCCGCCCCGCCCGGCGCTGGGGGGTGTTGGGGGCGCGCAGGGAGGGGGGGGTGCGATCCGCGAGTTAATTACGCTGCGTTTCCATGAAATCGTGCGGAGTGTCGCTCGCCGCCGCCGCCTCTGCTGCTCCTTTCGGTGATGAGGAAAAGAAAATGGCGGCGGGCAAAGCGAGCGGCCAGAGCGAGGAGGACTTCGCCAGCTTGACAGCCCAGGAGAGAGAAGCCCTATCCGGCCTCGACAGGTACCCGCTCCCCACTGCGCCCCGGCCGCCTCCGTGTCCCGGCTCGGCCCGCGCTCCCTCCGTGTCCCCCCGCTCCCCTGCCCGCGGCTCCCCGTGCGCCGCCGCTCCCGGGCCGCGCTCTGCCCTCGCCCGCCCGCCGCGCTGACTCTCGCTAACGCCGGTGCCTCTCTCTCCCCTCCCTCCCGCCCGCTCCCCTCCTCGCAGCCGGCTCTTCGGATTTCTGAGGCTTCATGAAGATGGCGCCAGAACGAAGGCCTTGCTGTTAAAGGTAAGCGCGAGGGTGGATGTGGAGCGGGGATGGGGGGGAGGGGGGGGGGAAACGGGGGATGGGGAGCGAGGCGGCCCCGCCGCCCCTTCCCTCGGGACCCCCGGGCCCGCACGGTGAGTGTGTGCAGGGGGTGTGCGGGGGGCACCGCCACCTCCGCGGGGTCTCAGCGCGTTGCTGCCGCCTTTGCCCCTTTCCTTTTTTACCCCCCCCTTCCCCCCGCCATTCTCCCCGAGCGGGACGAGGGGAGCGTGGCCATGCGGGGTGCCCGTCCGGCCCTGGGACGGGAAAGTGGCGGAACCCGGGCCCGGGAGCGGACGGGCCGGGGGAGGGGGCGCGGGGGCGGAGGGGGGGAGGCGGAGGACGAGGAGGAGGAGGCGGCAGCGGGGGGAGAGCGAGGGAGGGAGGGCGCGCTCGGCGCTGCTGACGTTGCCGCTCCCCGGACCCTCCCTCGTGATTTTCGCCCCCAGCCGCCGGGAGCGGAGCCGGGGCCGGAGCCCGCAGGGAGCGCGGGGTCCGGGCTGGGGCGGGCGCGGCGCTGAGCGGCGCCCGGAGCCCGTCCGAGTGACTTGTTTACTCTGCGGGCCCCGCTGCCTCCGTCCAGCGTGCCCGCTCCTCGGCGAGCCCCGCGGCCCGCCCGCCGTCCCGGCTTGACAGGGAGCGGGGCGTCCCGCGGGCTGCTGCTGCCCGGCCCGCTGTCCGGAGAGCGCTGCTTGTCTCCGTGCAAAGTTGTTGGCCCTGTCATTTAGTTAAGTAATGGCTGCTCCTGTCGGCCCAAGATGGCCGGACAGGGAGGAGAAAGAGAAGGGGGGGGAGGTAAACACGAAACAAACACCGGGAGCGAATATGGGGAGCGTGGAGCCCCCGGTGAAGGCTGAGGGAAACTCTCCTGCGCATCCCAAGTTCTTTCTGGGCGCTTCTCCTGCTGCTTTGCAGCGCCGGTGCCCTCCTTATCAACCTGTAGCACGTTCTGCTGCCCATCCGTGAGCCGCTGACAAAGGCTGTTCGGGCCGAGTGTCTGCCAGCTGTGCTTAAAACAGCAAACGCCAGGGAAACGTTCGAGTAACAGAATAAGTGGAACTGTTTTTGAAATGCCACACGGCTGAAGCAAAGGGGACAGTGCTACTCTGGTTCCTGCTTCCTGGCTTGTTCCTGTCAGTAGTGTGGCGTTTGACACTGCTCATCCCATTGTTGTGCCCGGACTGTATCGTGGAGGATTTTTTTTTTTTTTTTTCTGCTGCTGGTTTTGGTTGATCTGAAGATTTGACTCTAAAGCGTGTTGAATTGGATAGCCTAGGCCTGTGCTTGTGTTTGGGTGTTTATTTCTGGCAGGATTGGAAAAGCTCAATGTCAGGACGTGGGGGGAGGGGGGAGGGATGGAAGGAAAAACAAGTACACTTTCTTTTCTTTCTTTTCTTTTCTGCTTATATTTAAAAAGAAAAAAAAAATCTCGCGGTTTCCTTTCGATTTTCAGAGTTATTTATAAGAGCACTTCTTCCCATTAATCAAAAAGGTAGGGGAGTGACATGCCAAACCAGTTAAATAATGTACATTAACTGTTGGTGGACCAGAACTCGTGTCTGCTGTGTGAATGCTGCTGAGCCTGTTGGAAATATTAGACCGAATCCCGTATGGGATAGAGCTCAAGGATGCCAGATAGAAAATAAAAGCTTCACATCTAATTAGATCATCTGTCGCATAAAATCCCTGGTTTAAGTTTTATTTTGCATACTGTAAAATTAAGTGGTGCAAGGAGCAATTCAGCCTATTAGTTGAGTTTTGTGCCTTTCTTACGTGTAATGCTTATTTTAAAATGCCAGTCAATTGTAATATTAGTGTATACAATATGGAGTTGCGGGGCATTTTGATAGTTTTGAAATACGTTTTCAGAATTATCTATGTATGTTCTTTTACTGTATTAAGCTGCGAATCCATGCAGTGAATACTAAAAAAAATGCTCAAGCAAACCAAATATTTGCTATTTCACCTCAGTTTTCAGATGGTGTTTTGTACATTTATGAATTGCACAGTAACTCATGAAGCATGTTCTTTGTAAAACTTGTCTCTGAGAAAGGTAGATTATTTAAGGAAGTGGAAGGATTAAAACGTTGCTATTCAGTGCAGAGATGTTCGAGAGGAATTTCTTGGTTTGAACCAGTTTCGGTTTTGTTTGTGCTTTTTACTTTAAAGGAACGTGCTTATGTTTCTGTTACTGATAAGAAGTTGCTATTTTTAAGGTATTTTCTGCTTTGTTTCTGTTCTGTGTGAAGCTTTATGCAATTTATATTCTATTGAGGGCTTTAGAACAATTAATCTAGCAGACCACTTTAATTCAATGTAGCAGTTATTTTTATAGCAGAAACTGTGGCCGAATATATGTGCAGTTAATTAATAGGTTTTACAGCGATAGCAACAAAATGTTTCCTTTTGTGCATGGAGCAACAACAGCTAACAAAGACCCTAGACTACATAATTATGAAATCCTGACTGACTGATTTAAGAATCTACAAGGCAGCACGTTACAGCGTGAGATTTATGTGCAAGCGTAGCAGGTAAGGAAAACCATTGAGTCATGTTTCCAGAGGAATCCTTCACAAAGGCAGAAATTTATCAGTGCTCTCCTGGATGTGAGAGGAGCACACCCACCACTGAACCTTTTCCAGATGCTGCCAGGCTGGAGCAGTGAGTGCTCTGTGGGGCCTGGCAGTGCTCCTGGTTACCTGAGCTTGAGGTGTCAGGAGCAGGGTACCTGTCTGGGGAGGCTCATGACAGGTTTTGGGTTGTAAGTATTTGGGGAACAGCTCCCTTCCCTGTTTGGATACTTGTGCAGCTGGAGGAGTCTGTTCTGGGCTTAAATTTGGTGCCTGGGTGCGAGAAGACACTCCTTATTTTTGGTGGGGTTCACTAAGGTGTGCATTGGCTTGGAGGGGATTGCTGGAGGCCTTTGCAGTGGGAACTTTGGTTTAACAAAGCCACACCCTGACAGGATTTAATAATAAGAAAACTGGGATCTCTTTGAGGGATGGAGGAAGCTTCATGTCTAGAGCTTTAATTTAGTTGTGGGTTCTATTTGTGCTGCAGGTCTGCAGTCCCCCATTTTCTGGTGGTTTTGCTTTGTAGGCTGTATGGGCTGTCGTATCGTGAACTGAGCCAAGCCGTGCTGCTGGGTGTAGCAAATCAAAAGGGCAAATAGGACATGAGATCTGTACAATTTTATGAATCATTGAAGGTATAGATTAAGGGTCAAGAATATTGTAATGTTGCCCCATGTACTGGATATGTGATAAGCCAAAAGAAACTTTCCTGTAATGCTGTACACGCTGTGAG